GAATGGAGTGTTCCCTTCTAAACTTTACAAAGTTTAGTCATCTCCCAATGCATCGTCCCCTGTGGGTCAGCGCACCGGCGGCAAATGAGCTCTTCACTTAGCTAAAAACAAAGCTTAGACGTACCTAACACGGAATCCCCTGTGGGTCATTGTCTCGGTCGCTGCGTTTCGTCCTAAGCTTTACAAAGCTTTAGCCATCTCCCCACGCATTGTTTCCTGTGGGTCAGCGCCCCAGTGGCAGATGAGCTCCTCCCCCAATAGAATCACAACTCATACGCCTCGATCGAACACTAAAGGCTCGTCACAAAACAACAAACGATTAATCGAGAGGACGCCCTACCCACATCGCCTTGGTTATCACTAAGCCTCAGCCAACAGGTGTTCCACACATTTGTTCCCCTTGCCCTTTCACATCAGCACTTCATCAGAATCTACAGTCCTTACTCTAAGGCAGGCATGCACAATCGGGAAAACAAGTCCACCCATGATATGAATATTCATGCCTGAACTTGGGGAGATCACTGTTACTCCCCTAACTGAACCATTTCGGAACATCAAGCACACCACTCCCCGAAGTGCCACGTGTCCATCCGAAGTGGTTCCAAAGTGGCGCCAACTTCTGACGACCTCCAACTTGATGCGCTGCGAGGCGCATAGTAGATCCACTGAAGCAACCGAAGTGCCCCCTGACGTCAAAGCGTTAGGCACTCCGAGATGCTCCCTTAACAGATCCCTCTGTTGCCAAAGCTATCTGTGTCAGGATCCTCTCTGCCTCCAAGAATTAATTGATGTGACGTATCAACTTTATGTCAACTCAACTCAGAAGAATTAATTGCCTGCCCACTCTAGATGTGCCTAATTAAAGCCTATGAGCGGACGCCTTATACTGTTAGATGCATACACGTGTTTCACATCCAATGGTGCTCCACACTATAGATACCCAAGTTTTGGCAAGAGATAAAGGTAATGAAACTTTCACAACTTAGCTCTTCATACTAAGAAATATATATTCTCCTCCCCACTTTTTTGCATAACTTGAACACTGTTCCGATCACCAAACACTGAGTTGACCGTCGGAGTGTATGCAGCCGCCGCCGCCCACTTTGGTTCCGACCGTGTGCTTCTAACTGTGTGTTGTTGTGCGCAGGGAGGATTACATGGAGTGGCTATCGATTGGAAGGTCCAATTCATGAGATCAATAGGTTTCATTGCTGATTTCATGTAACTTAATTTAATTTAGCTTGCAGTGCAACGTCACTCTTGGAACACGCATGCTGATCCCTGTGTATTTGTATAACTGATGTTTTACATTATTAGCATCTACTGTATCTAAATAAATATATTGTAATTGAAAGAAATAAATAGATTGCAACAGACATTATTGTGCTATCTACTGTATAACCTGTGCTCATTCTGGTGAGCCTCTTCAGCTAAAGTTTGATCTTTTATAACATCAGATGCTTTGGCAGTCAGCAAACTTCGAAGTGTATAGCCAGATTTTTTGGTTAAACAAATAATGGGGATCCCAACTAAATTCGTTCGGCATAGATCAGACATATCGGACTTCTTTCAGCAATGGGAATTCATTTTTAAACATTGCAGGAAAGAGTTGGAAACAAGAAGAGCATTCAACACTTTAAATTTTTATGACATAGGCATCTTCGGCGACCTATTGATGACATTGTGCAGGCTACTGGAAGAAATAATTTTTTTATGCTGAGAATTGGATTTATCTATTATATCTATATGCTCAGAGAGCCAAATATTGCAGCAGATTGGTTTGCCAATAAATGATATATTCAACTTAAGCAGAATTGTAAAGAAATATGAGTGAGTTTTCTGTGCCTGTTATTTGCTTGTTAGATTCTCAAATCACAAGGAATTTTAAATTCAAATACAAGCCAGAAGTGTAGAGCATAAATCTGGAATAAGAGGGAAATCCTAAAGAAAGTTTAGCTTTGTATGCCATCTGTTGACACATAAAAATTCAGCCCAAATCGAACAGCCCAAGGAGTGAAGCCCAATTGAAGGATCCCCAAATCAGATAGCCCAAAAAACGAAGCACAATCAAACAAATCAAGATGAAGGCCCAAATAGGGAGGCCCAAGAACACGGTAACGCCATCGCCCAAATTTGCAAGTCGTCTAGAATCTGAGCGAGTGGAGTGTCATACAGTCGCCCAGAGCTGTTACTCTATTCTCGCCCAAACCTTCAAATCGCTCAAGGTCTTAACAAACATAAAGCGTCGTGGTTATCAAGAAGTGCAGTTATTAAAGCAACCCTATCACGTTTCACGATTCAAGGAATTCAATCGAAAGCGGTTGAACGATGAAGAGTAATGGCGACAGTTAAAAAAGGCAGTTTTCATGACAAGTTGGCCATTACGAAGAAAGTGGGCAGTTATAGGACGATCAAGCAGTTTTTAGGGTGGTTGATCACAAAGAGATCGTCCATGAAGTATAAAAGGGAGAAAGGACATAGAAGCAAAGGACCGAATCAAAAACTCTCGAACAGAGAACATGTAATTTTCATTTCCTTAACTTAGATTTAAACACTTTTCTTTCAGTAACTCGTGTGCTTGCGCCTCTTGGAGGCACGTTGTTTTTAATTTTCAATTTTAAAGTCATCGCCAATAAAAGAACACCCCTTTTTGGGACTTTGTCTCAAGAGGTTTGTCCTTTACACAATCGTCTGATCCTTTTTAATTGTTAGCGACTAACCCGCGCGAAACACCATCTATGCCACTATGTGAACATTTCAGTAAGAAACCTTTGATCTATGGATGCTTCCACTTGACTAATCATCAGGCCTCTTTAAATAATGCCATAAACCACCACTTGAGTTTCACCAGTTCACCAATTGAGTCTCAGATGCGCATCTCCCAAGGGAAAAGTATCATCAACAGTATTTTGCAGATGTTAATAAAATGATTTTTACAAAAAGAATTTAAGTTATTCAAGTATAAATCATGCTCCTCAATTCAGACCCTCAATCAATTGAATATAAGGAAGTAAATAAATCCATTTCGTACTTATGATTTCAAGGTTTTCAACATGACTAACAGAAAAAGCAAAATATAGAACATGATTATACCGCCTAAGCACCTTAATCAATCTGTACATTCATTAAATTAAAAGAAACATATGATTGACAGAGAGTTTTGAAGAATTAAAGAGTTTTCTATGACAAATTGAAGAATTTGTTCTTCCTAGGGTTAGGTTTCAATTGGGGATTTCTGATTTTCTCTTTCATAATTGATTTGGAGGTAGTTATTTGCTTTAGAGGGGAGATGCCAAAAAATGTTTCTGATAAATATATTAAAATTGTTAATCAATTCAATGCGTTTTTGTCCTCCATTGATGCCATGTGTCATCACATTATTTTCTCATCCGCTACATGGAAGTATCTGCTCTGCTTTACAGATGGAATTGGCTATGGCGGGTATTGGGTAAATTAATCAATAGTTCAATGAACATCGATTTGGTAACCATTTAATCTTTGTGAGTATGTAGGTAATCATAGGTAAAGTTCAGTGGGGACTCATTTAATTAATTTCTCGTGAGACAGCTCGTCTTGTCCCACCAAAGGACGAGCTAATTGGTCGAGTCAAGCTGAGCCGAGCCGATATTTTATTGAAGCGGACCAAGTTGAGTTGATATTTTGTGACCCAAGCTAGCTCAATGGACTGAGGCAAGCCTGATAATGGGCATGTCGAGCTCAATTCGACCTATTTCACACCCCTGAGGAGGGGCGAGGATTATGGTCTGTTTCTCAATTTATTATTTATTCTTATATGTAAATTAAAATAGTATTTAAAAATATAATAATAAATGAATAAATGAATTTGTAGCAAATAAGAATATTTTATTCTCCACTCCACCTTGTCTTGACTTGTCCAATTACATCGTCATCCTTACATTGATCCTTTATCTTTTTTCGATTCAATGTGTGATTTGATTTTGAAAATAAAAAGTTAAATAAATAAGTTCGGGTTCTCACTTGAAATAAATAGTCAATATTGAAGTTAAAATCGTACGTGAAATCCACATTATGAGTCTAAATCCGACATTAGTATTTGATATTTTAAACTCTAATTTAAGTCATGTAAGCATCGATGATGACAGTTTCTATTACATGGGGAATGGAGATCCAAATTTACATGGTTATATAATTTGGGACTTAGAAACTCACGTTTGAATGTTGAGAATCAACAAATATGATGAGCCTAACCTAATATTTTTAAGGATGATTATATTTCCATTACATTTTTTTATTAAATTAAATGACATTACCTTTATTAATTATCATATTTATATCTTTAACTTTTTCTTAATCACATTCTAATTTTTAACATTTCACTAATAAAAAAAATCTTTTCTTTAATTATATTTTCGTCCACAAATAGTATTAATGTGCTTTAAATTATGGTCAAATATTTAATCACATATTTGCAATATTATTTATTTTGCTTATTAAAAAATACTATGAGCAAATAAGTCTCTTTTTACCTTATCTTAATGAATATTTTGAATCAAAATCATAATGAAGAAAAATTTATTCTAATTTGAAAATTAGAATGTGATGAAAAAGCTTGAAATACAAATGTAATAATATGTAAAGATTATGAATCTTCGTACAATTAAAATATATTCTAATTAAATTGTGGCGTGAATATATTTTGTCTATTTTTTAAAAATAGGATCTTAATTTTTCCTATACAATACAATATAGTCTACTTAGAGCATGTATGGTACAGGTTTTTATTCAATTAATATCAATTTTTTATCGTTATTTCACTATTTTGATAGTTATTTTTGAATTCTTTTCTTATAAGTAGAATTTACTTTATCTCTAACGGTCAAAAAATCAATTAATAAAATCCCTGTCAAATAAGCACTTAAATTATGGTGTGAATACATTTTGTCCATTTTAAAAATATGATCCTAATTTTTCCTATATAAAAAATATATGGTTTAAAAACGAAAAAGCAAAATGCCTTCGAATACACTTTACGGCAGCGTTCTACTTGTTAACCCCATTTGAGTGCGCCGTCTTGTCGGGGACCCTATGGGCCTGTAGCGTCCTGTTTCACCATTTCTTTTCCTGGTTTCTTCGTCGACGCACAATCCTTCACACTCCCACGTCAAAGCTATATCGTGCAGGTTGGAGTTGCTTCTATATATTTTTTGAATGTTCCATTTCCTTTCTTTAATATACTTTCGCTATTTGCTAAATTTGTTAGCTACTGATCGGAATCAAGTTTATTGGAGTTCTATAATTGTGGGTAGTGCACAGATTGTAAATGCCAAATTTCGTTAGTTAAAATTATTGCTTTGTTGATATTCATACTTTGGAGTCAGTAGGTTTTGTGAAATTTTATTTGTATTTTAAATGTAGGATTTTATTATTTTTCTTTTTCTTTTTTATTTTCTTTCTAAATAAATGTTGATGGAGATTCTAGTGTTCAGCTGTGTGCTATTTACTGATAGAACTAAGCTCGTTTTCTACATTTTTTGCTGACTGTTTGCACAATTTGATTCGTGTTATGCTGTGATACATCAAAATATGTGCAACTAAAGATGGTGGGTGGTTTCGTATTGCTGCCTGAAACTTAAGTTTTGATAATATTGCAATCGAGTAGATGCATGCACTTCTCGTAGGAATAATGTCCATTAAGTCCTCTTTGAGTATGGAGTTAGTCTAAACAGATTACAGCCCACGTGGATATATTACTTACAAGAACTCTTTGGTTATACGTTGGGCAATGATCCTGTAGCACTAGGACTTTAGTGTTCGGAATTGTATTAGGTTGCCCTTCTTGATCTCTGTCCCTCATGGACATCAATGTTCATTCATGAGACTTGATATTCATATTTGGCATATTCCGTGTCACGTTTTGAGCTCCAATTACATCTTCAACTCCACTGTAACTCGGCAATGAAGGTAGTTCAACTGTAATCAGTTAAATTGGTAACCAAATTGAGATGAAAATAGAATCTGGGAGAAGGGACAATGACAAAATTAAGAAGAGGGAGATGAGAATGGCTGTTGAATGATTTCAACAAATTTTCCTGAGAAATCAGATTACACAGATTGTAAAGCACGATGCATCCATGGCAGTATGTATAGCCACAAAGCAGAAAAGTCGTGTTTTGCCAAAGAAATAATAAAAGGCAATTTTACCTACTTTATTACGTTCTAATTAACCAAAATGACACCATTCTTCTTATCCAAACGGCACCGTTTCTGTTTAACCAAAACGACGTCACTTCAGTTCCTTCGGTTAGCCTTTTATCCTCCTTCCTTTCCTTCTTTGCTTCACCTGGTTCAACTTCTCTTTTTTCCCCAATGGCTCATTACATGACAGCCCTCCTCACCTTGATCTTGTCCCCAAGATCCACAAAAGCGAAATTGTAATTTAATCCATTTCGCATCCTTCCACGTTGCCTATCTGGTTGAAGGTCAATTTTTTGTATGAAGCAGAAGTCTTTGCACATTGTCATCTTGATAAATATCCTTTCCTTCCTTAGGTGCAAGTTGTCTCCACGCATTCAACTTCAGTGATTTAGTGACTGCCACAACATTGGCCCATGAGAATATAAGCCCATAATCTTCATCAAGACTTCATGATGTGCGGAATTCTTTGAAAGAGAACCTTCTCACAATCTGTCATTTAGAAGGTCTAGATCAAGGGGTCATCTAATCTAAATGTTTCAAAACCTTCCCCAGCTCTAATTGCCTCTTCCATGAAGATTTTATTCGGTAAAACATTTAAGGACCATGGTAGTGGCATTGATGATGATTGGGTACCAATAGGTCCCTCAGGCTGAGTTTGGTTCAGCTGCGGCTTCCTTGTCTGGTTCTGACCAATTCGACATGGAAATGTTGAAGTAGGCTGAATATTGGGTTGATGATTTGGCAGTGGCGGTTAGGGCTAGGAATCGAACTCGAAACTTTCAGGTATTTATTAAGTGGAACCGTTGGGTCCAAATTTAATTATGGAACCATTTGGATTTGGTTTCATTCGGTTCAATTTGGTTTGGTTCGGCTCCATTCGGTTCTCGGGTTCTGTTCTATAATTAACTTTTTAATATTTACAAAGCTATATTAATTTTACTAATGATATGTTTAATTTTAGTTTTTACAAAATAACGCAGTCCAATTTTACGTGTCTTTTGCGTCTGTTTCTGTTGTGTTCTTCATAGTTTTGATCATTAAAATCAGGGGAAGAAAAAAATACGAGCTCACAATAATTAAGAGAGATACTGTCGAACTTCAATTTGATTTCTCTAGAATGGTAGAAATGGAGCTATGGTAGAATAAAAGGTTTGGATAAAACTTTAGTGAATTTAATTAAGTTGGTCTTATACAAAATATTAGAAATAGGAAAATCATATTTTTGGGTTTGAGTTAAATTAATTAGTTAAAAAATTTATTTAAAAAATAAAATAATTTGGTTTATTTAAAATAAATAAATTAAAATTAAAAAGATTCAGTTCTTATTCGGTTCATGATCTAGAATCGAAAATTGAACCGAATCTGTCAGTACTCAATTCAAATACCCGTTTGGGTATTTAAGTTAAAAAGAACCACTCGGTTCAGGTCTGGTTCATTTCAGCTCGGTTCGGAAGTTTTGTCTAGTCCTAGGTGCGATGGCTGAGAACTTGGAACTCCGTTGAAGAAAGAGCTAGAACTGCTTGAGCGGACCGTTCTCTTCACCACCCTTGGATTAAGCAAGTAGTGTAAGCTGGAATCCCGGGGTTTATTTAAATGCATCACCAGGTTGACTTTGTAAGGCATCAATTTCTTTCAACAGTTTTTTAAGCTTTCTGGACTGACTAAAGAACAGCAGTTTTTCGTGTAGGCATCACTTCTGACCTGACATCTGTAATGCCAACAACCTGAGTAGTTCTCCAATTGTCGCCAGTAACCATAATAGGAATTTTTGCTAATTTTTATGAGATCCTCAACTACAATAGCAGCTTCTCTCTTCAATGACTCTGCTACCCCAAGAACACCAATTAGGTTTTTATCATTTATCACAAGTATTCCTGTCCTCGCACTTTCTTCCAAATGTACCACAAATTTCTCCACAAGACTTGGTATGGGCACTTGATTTTCAGTCAGCAACTTTCAGTTACCAACCAAAATCATTTTTCAATCTATAAGGTCATGACTCTCAACCTGTTGAACATCAACATGGTTCACCCTCGCTCTCAATTTCAGCCTCTCCTTGCCCTTTGCCTTCACTTTCACATACAGGTTCTAGTTCTCCACCTTCATCCTCTTATCAAAATTCTTACACCACTCTTTGGAAAAGATTCTCCAATCTATATTAGGATGGCTCGCAAGGAAACCATCATACAAAATGTCCGCTTTACCTTTTAAGTACATTTCAGCTATACACAATCTCAACTCATCTGGAAGTTGGATGTACTTCCTAGCTTTTCCTTCCATTCCTTAGGTTCTTCTCCCCCAAAGTGTGGAAACTCGATCTTAGGCAACCTGTTATTTCCCTTAAAATACCATCTATTATAAGTTCTAGTTTCAGTGTTACTAGCTCCCAGGGTAGATATTACACTCTCAGATCTAACCTTAACCACAGTTTCTTCCACTCCTTTGTTTTTTCTGCTCCATTTTGATATCTGAAGACTACTTGGCCACTAAATTTCATATTTATGATTCATACCTAACATCATAGCTTCAATTTTTTCGTGTCTATGCCCAATTACCTGGAGAGTTTGATCCGTGGAAGCCAACTTGTTCTCCAGCCTGTTGATAGCTCTGAAGGTTGTCCCCAGATCTTCTATTTCCAGATCCAGCTTCTTCAGATGTTCATCCACTACTTAGCCCTTATGTCCACGATTTTCACTTACCCGTTCTAATTCGCCTTCTCTAACACCAATTGTCACGGTTTGAGCTGCAATTAATGCTTCAACTCCACCGTAACTCAGCAATGAAGGTAGTTTCAACTGTAATCAACTGAGCTGGTAAACAAATTGAAATGAAAAAAGAATCGGGGACAAGGGAAAATGACAAAATTGAAAATAGGGGGATGAGAATAGCTGTTGAATGATTTCAACAAATTTCCCTGAAAAATTAGATTACACAGATTGTAAGGCACAGTGCATCCATGGCTGCATATATAGCCACAAAACAGAAAAGTCATGTTTTTCCGAAGCAATAATAAAAGTCAATTTTAACTACTTTATTACTTTCTAATTAACCCAAAATGACACCGTTCTTATCCAAACGGCACCGTTTTTATTTTGCCAAAACGAGCCTTTTCTCCTCCTTGCTTTCCTTCTTCTCTTCACCTAGTTCTGCTTCTCTTCTTTTCCCAATGGTTCATTACATGACAATCTGCTGGCATGCTTATTTCAGTTGGGATCATAGTCTCTTCTCCAAGGTGAAAAAGTAATCTGTTTGCTCATAGCATTCGCACGTGCTTGTCAACAAAACATCCCTTCATTTGCTTCTTCTTTATTTATTTATTTATTTTTTTTCTTTTTTTTAAGGGTTGTGCTTGATGTTGTTGTTAACTATCTAAACTTTATCATTTGCTTCGTAGTGATCTGTTTCTGACGTGCAAAGTGAGCTCGGTCTTAGACTCTAATGTTGGTCGCTCCATCCTTAATAGCATATTGCACACGTAAATTAGCATAGGCTTGTGTACCTTTGACTTAAGAGTATTTGTTCATGAGGATACCGCGTTGAAGTGGAAGTCCTTATTGTAAGAGGTGATTTAATCCCATTTGAATTGATAATGGTGATAGATTCTTCTACGAAGAAAATTTTTGTTACCTGATGGATTGAATTCTATTTGTTGTTTTCTTAATAAAGGATTCTCATGGTAGTCAGCAGGCTATAGAAGCCTAAAGTTGCATTTATCAGGTCCTTGAGGCTCGAACTATCCACATGGACCTCTTTGATTCGAGGTGATTGTTAGACCTCATAGTTTCTTGCTGATTGAGCAGCTGCATATGCACAATCAAACTTGAGCCTAATTCTTGGGAACAGCCTATGGGCTTTCATTTATGATTTCTTCTTTTCCTTTTTGTGTTTGAGAGGTGTAGATTTTCCTTGTATATAGGGGTGGACATGGTTCCATATGGTTCTGGTTCCAAGAAAACCAAACCGAACCATGAACCAACAATTTTTTTTATAATGGAACCAAATGATTTTTTTAAAGATATGAAACCAAACTGAACTGAACCGTTCGGTTTTGGTTTGGATTGGTTTGGTTTTAATTTCATTTCTTAAATTTTTAGATTTGCATCATTTAAATTAGTAATGTATACCTAAATAAGAATTTAAATATCAAACATTTAGGAAGTTCAAATTTCAATCATCAAGATAAAAAAAGTCATAACTAACAAACAAAATATATTCATAATTTGAATACACCAATCAGTTTTTGTTTTCATATAAAAAATTGTTTAATAAGTAATAGCAAAGATTCATTAAATTAATTGCATTAGTTTTGAAGGCACACCCCTACAATAAAGAATGAATTATCAAAATTTTTACATTCCACTTCTACAGGAAACATTAATCGTTTAATATTTCATGAATGTTTATTAGGTTTTCCTCTATTTGTGAAGAATACAAATAACTCATCAAACAAATAAGGTAAAAAAAGAGTTTAGAGATTTTTTAAGTAACTGACTAATTTCATTTTTTGATCTTAAATGACACTCCACTGATTTGATGAAATGCGGTACCGGTATATTGGGACGTTGTGTAAATTGAAAATGAGTGAAAGAGAAATAATTCAATTGAATACAAAATTAGAGTGTAGATAACTAATGAGTTGTTTATCTCTACTGACCCAAAATTGATTAATAAACTGCATTCAATCAATGAGTTATCTCCAATGAATATATAATTAGAGTCTCCGCTAATTATTATATATAAAATTAAATATTAATTTTGGTTCTAGTTTTTGAACTAGAAATGAACCAAAACTAGAACCTAAACCAAATGGTTCCCGGTTTAAAGAACCAAAACCATTAATTTTTTTGATAGAACCGAACCGAACCATTTGGTTTGGTTTAGTTCGGTTTGGTTCTAGTCTGGTTTGGTTTAGTTTGAACATTTTGTCCACCCCTACTTGTATAGTCATTTTTTTATTGAAGCAGTATATTTTACAATTGTTTTGTCTAATGGTCTTCATTTTGTTTTCATATGGATGGTCTAAAAAAGATTTGAGCATTTCCTGAATTTCCTGTTATTTCCTTTTCCTTGTTTAACCAAGTCGTGCTGCGGAAAATGGAGTTGTTGTGCAATTGAATTCTTAGGAATGAAAAATCATTGTCTCCTAGTAATGGACATTTGAACTTAAACTCTGATGTAAATTTTTATCATTTTACAGTGTCAACATCAATTGAGGCATTTTAGGTGTTAGTTCACTTGTAGAGTGTCTTTTTCCAAAAATTCTTTTTCATTGTCCCGCTTGTTTAAGCTTTCTACCTGATCTCTGAGCTGTATTCCTTGCATATAAAACCTTTATATATACACCCCCCCCACACATATATATTCTCTTGTTCCTCGTGTTTATGAAGAGGGTAGGTTGTGAATTTGTATTTTACTACATCGTAAGTTTTTTCAGGTAATATGGATTCTTGGCTTTTGCAGAAAATGTTATTATAGCTTTCCTTTTCTCGTTATGTTAAAGAGAAAGTGAAGCTTCCTACATCCTATGTGAAATTTTAATATCAGGAGCTATATTAAGCTGATACGTGTTGAAACAAATCCTAGCTGACATTATAATTTAATTTTAGTTGACCAGTTTCGTAGAGTCAAAGTAGCTTGAAATTTCAGGTTAAACTGGGACCATATTTAGCTTTGGAGGAGCTCTAGTGTGTCTTCAATTTCCTATATTTCTTTCCCATTCCTTTCTTTATGGGAGGTGGGGACCAGATCTCTTAATATTCATATTTGATAAAAAAGGAAAAATGTATTACATGCGCAAAGTGATATTATATTCATTTACGAACAATTCATAACCATGAAACATTATCACTTCCCACTCAAACGGTCAAACCTCTACGGTCTTCGAGGACTTTACTCCAAAATCTCTATGCTCTACAATACTAAGACTTTACCTTTTAGGGACTCAAATTGTGATTATTTAAATGACTGCAAGTCCTAATCTTCAAAGATCAGAATTAAGGAACGTGGACAAGCCATCTCAAGAGGAGCTTTAAACAATTCAAGCTTGCTGAGAATCATTAACAAGTCTTACAAATTGGTAAAGCCTGGCGCGTGCTCTTTGAATAAGCAGCTTTTGTTCAATTGAATTCAGATACTGCATTAGTTTAAGTGGTATTTGACACTTTCTTAGCTTGAGATGCCAAGTTTGACCAAAACGGAATTTAAATTGCTTTTGGAAAATGGTCTGTGTGATTTTCATTTGATAATATTTTAACAAACATTTAATTTCCTTTGCCTTGTCCATTTGAATATTGCTCTTTTCTTATGACCTCTGTTTTTATGGGATTTTAAGATTTGAACCAGAATCCTGATTTACAGATAAGTCTCCTATCATGGGCACAGAAGAGAAATATCCATTGAAAGAAATGGATTGGAAAAATATTGGAGACTCAACTACCGGAGAATCTGAAGCTGGACGTGTTGGGAAAAAAAGGCTACCAAAAAAGATGAGGCAAATCCCGGATTATTATTTCCTTCCTCGAAGATCTTTATCATTTTCCGTTGCTTTTTATGGAGCATGTATAGTTGCTGGAGTTGGTGCTGGCATGCCGATTGAAACCTGGATAAATAAAAAAGTTAAAGGTATGTCATTTGCTCTAAACTAGTTTCACTTGATTGACTTAGGTCCCTTCTGCAGACACCATTTAGAATTTTCCGTCCAGCTCTGACGAAAAGTACCATCTAAATTAATAATAATATCTATTTAGTGATTCATAATACCGCAAGTCGCTGTAGTTTAGTTTTATCCTGTCCATCTGCGACATTTATCCTCCTCTATGTGTTTAATGTACATGCGATGATTTAAATCAGCGAAGTAATGTTCATTTTTTTACTGATCTGTAGCGGATGGAGGTGTGATCTGGGAGTTTGACAAATAAAGGGCAGATAGTTTTGATATCGTCGCGGTATTGACAGTGCAATGATGATATATGCTACAATTCGTAATGCTTGTAAGGCAAATATGAGGTTCTGTTTTTGACCTTGTGGGTCATGTTGATTTATTTTCTGTGGTTAAGATGGTATCTTTGCAATAGTTTATGTTCACATCACATTAGGTCTCTATCTAATTCAAAGGTTAATATTATGTCTCTAATTCCCCGCTTTGAGTTTTTAGCAATGGAAAATAAAGTGCAATAAAACATGTTTAATATTCCGTATTGGACACGATGAAAAAGATTTAAATCATTGTCGACCTCCAAAGTAGATACTTCAATATAAATGTTGAATTTGGGTTGGGAGGAAACGGGTATGGTTATGGGAGTAGAGCAGGTTGGGCCCCGCGCAAAAAGAAAGAGCTTGGAGCTAGGGTAATGTGGGTTTTTCTGATTGGAACTCAATACAAGTTCCATATTGGCTCATCATCATCCATAGTCATTCCAAGTAGTGCATCCAAAAGGTTTCGACTGTCGGGGGATTTTTTCCTGAAAAATCTAGGGTGGATTTTGATTTTTTACCTATAAGTCAAATTTATTCTTTTATTTATTTGTAGTTGTCACAATACGGTTGGTAAACGGCTTCTTTTGTTCGACCTTCTCTTAAATTCTCAAAATCTCTATTCACTCCATCTCCTTTTCCTTGACATTGTCTGTGACTACATACAATTTGAAATGCATTGACTTTTTCATGGCGTTGAAAATCTTCGCTCTTCTGTAAACTCAAGTATTATTTCAAGTTTTTTATTCTGCTCTATTTATTTAGAATTAAGTTTATTAATATACTTATTATAATAATTTTTTTTTTTTTTGGTAGAAATTATTGTTTCAGTTCTATATTACGTTGGTCCAATTTGCTATTATAATTATTATTCTTTTTCTATAACAGGGATCCCAAGATATTTCAATGCATTTTCTCTTATTGTGTAAATGTTTTTGATGAAATGGAAAAAAGAAAATCTGTAATCTTAAATGAATGATTTCATATTAATTCTTCTTATTTTTTTCCTTGACATAAAACTGTGTGATTACTGCATTGTTTTTTCAATCACAAAACAAAAACTATTTTTTAATATACAAATAATGATTTATTTATTTATTTATTTATCATGTAATAAATATAATAGGAAGATTTTCCTATAATATTAGTTTTCCGAACTCATGTTAGGTTTCTGTACTTGTGCCTTGTGACCTATGTCGATTGGATAATGCTATTTATTACCAGTGTGATAGCACTACTTCCATGGATTGTACGTGATGACCAAAAAGTTTTCAACTGTCGAGGAATTTAAGGGCCTTTTTTGTAGAATTATGATAAAAATCGAAATTTCTTGTTAAATTTATGCGTGGTAAAATGTTATTGATTTACATTTTGAAAGATTTAATTATCAAGTTAAAAGTAATGATGCTATAGGACGCAAAGCCAAACCTCTCATTAATCTTCTTTTGGTGAGTTTAACTCTCTCTCTCTCTCTTTTATATATATATATATATCATGGGTGTCCGGGTCAGTTTATGCACACCACGACTAATTCTACGGGATCCTGAAATTTACAGTTGGGTACTCAACTCAATAGTTTCGAGATGACTCAAACTGATGACCATTGATGAATAAACCCAATGTCTGACCACACAACTATCCCTCAGGGTTTGTTTTGGTGAGTTTACTTGAAAGTCTCTGTTAATTCTTGAACGGATTTTCCAAAAAGCGAAGTTAAATGTATAGATTAATGGTGTGCATGGATTGTTGCTTACAATGTTAGTTCAAGTTTTACAACGAACAATTGGAGATTTGTTTTTAACAGGTTAAAGTCATATTAATAAGAGTATGCTATACTTTTGTTAATTATTATTGTCACATGTATCTAGTGACAGAGGTCTGTGAATGAAAGACCTCATTTCCGTGCACAGGTTGATATTGAAAACTAGGTGTTGGTCCTGGCACGTTTAGAACTATGCTGAGAGTTAGAGTTGATAAATGAGTTCTGAACATAGATATCGTGCACATAGTTAAAGACTTGAATGGAATCTGAAATAGGAGACATACTTGATGACATAATACTTTCTTCAGGTGGCGGGATAGACCTTCTATGCGATGTTTGGAAATGATTCCTCATTGAAAATTAGATGCCTTGAGACATAAACTCAACAATTGTAGACAAATCTAAACATCTGAAATCTTTTTGTTGTTGTGCATGAATTCTAGGAAAACATATTCCTTACCGGAAGAAAAGCTTGTGATCCGCATAAGGTCTTAAAAAGATTAGTAGGTCTAAATAATTAGGCATTGATTTGTTGGCAAATTATGCTGAACCTTTTGTAGGTCAAGGGTTGATTAAGTACACATCTATATATCAAAGGAGTCCAACCAGTAACATGTTGGTAGATGTGATTTTGCTGAAATTGTTAATCTAATTTCTTGAATATATCGATGCTTGAATATAGTAATGCTATTTTGTTGAGATGTATATGGGCATGTTATACGATGTTGTGTTCCATGGTTCAATAGAATTTTTTTAAACTGATTTGAAAGATATGCACGGTCATTATTGTGGATTTTACGAGAAGCGAGATTCTCAACAAGAACTTTATATTTCCGTAAAATAGCAAATACATCAGACTTACAGCTCATAGGATGCATCTATGTAAAACAGCAAAATTCATCAACAAATAACACATAGGAGTGGCACCCGCTAGCAAATGTTATGAGGAGACCTGAATATCAGAGTGTAAAAGAGCTAGTGGTTTGGTCATTTGTCTATGAAGTCAGGAAATGGTAGATGTTTAGCTTTCCCTAGTTGACATGATGAAAGCATGTTAATTTGTAGAATCTTAAAAACATCTCCATTGGTGGTGTAAAATTGGATATAAATTGGTATCTTCAAAACCACTTTTACATTCTCAATTATATTCTGGTGGATGTGAATCCAAATTCCATTCTAATGGAAATTTTTAGATCCACTTTTTGCCTTGAATGGAAAATGTAATTTATATCTCCTTTGCATCTCTCCATTGAAGATGTTTCCAGCCACTTTGGAGATTTGAATCTCTATATTACACCATCATTGGAGATGCTCTAACAAAAAGATAAAGAAGCAAATGAGCTAAGGTTGACTTCGAGGGGTGACCTAGCTTATCATGCCAGCGATCCAAGGTCCTTATTCCTAATTTGGTCTTGAGACAGCATAGCCTAATTGATGTGCTCTTATTGCCAGCAATTGGATAGAGGTCATTCTCAACCAAACCTTGAAGCAGCAGCAGGCTAATGTATCTTGGGGCCATTGAATCGTCGTCTTGGCTTCTTCATATATTGTGGTTGTTACGCTTTGACCTAACAAAGGCATAATGGTTTTCTGTTGCATGTGAATTCTGAGCGTCTTTAAGATATTTTCAAAGTTGAGCAGCTCAGTCTGAAATCCATCAAAATTAAAATCTGTCCCTTGAGCAAAAGATGAAGAATATGATGAAAGGATGGAGTTGTTTTTCTATCCACCAATGAGGAAGTTAAAAAGATCCTAGTCATCAATTGATTTTTCAAGCTGCAGCAAGCTGATCAGAGATGGATTCTACGTCTTCAATGTAATCTGTACAATAGAGTTTGAATTGTCTGGCTTGTTTACCAAAAATATTCATGGATAGCTATCATATAATTATTTACAATAACAGAATTGAGTAATAAGAGAGGACTAGCAAGCGCGTTTTCAATTTATTTTAATCTATTTTTCTTAATTATTTATTTATTTGTGTTTTTTAATATGTATTTAATTGTTTTAAATGTGATTTATTTGTATATTTAAGAAGATACGAGACTCCCTTTGAAATTTTCCCTTACTTTTTTGTTGTTTTAGTACTTTCTTTTTATTTATTTATTTATTTATTTTTTAAGTATGAGGACAAATCTGTTGTTTAATGACCAAAATGGAGGGAATGACGAGTTTTATTACATAGTAGAAAGGCTGAGAAAGAATTATGCTTAAAAAAAATTAAGGATATATAAGTCATGATTTGCAAAGTTTGAGGATGAAAATTGCACGTTTCCCTATAGGGTTTAGTATTTATCAACCCAAATGAGATGAATAGTAATTAGCACAAAATGTCCTTATCTTTTCTTTCAAGTTTATTGTGGAAAATGTCTGTACTTTTCATTTTTTGACATTTTTGTCTTTATCTTTCACCTTTATTTGCGTTGGACGTCTTTTTTTACCAATTTTTAAAGTAAAATGATCAATATACATTCTTATTTAAATAAAACAAAAAAAAAAATAAAGAATAAATTGCAACTATAGGCTCAAACTTTTTTAAAAAGTGCAAATTGGTTTAAATAAATTATTAAAATATTAAAAATAACAAATAAAAAAACTCTTTCTCAATCCTCTTCACCTTCCTTTCCTTATGCCTCCACCACCACCACCACAACCATCGTCACTGACAAAATCACCAGAGCTTACATCACAAACTGTTGCCATCAACCCCAAAAATTTACGATAGAAATTTGATACAAATACTACTCAATTGAAAGGAGATCTAAACTCGTATGCTTCGAACTATCCAAAATCAATTGCATGATTCGTGCAAAATTGTTGAAGACCCATAGTTGTAATAGCTTCACCATGATGGGAGGGTGCTGAATATGGTGGTCTGTGATCATGATGTACCCCACAGTAGCCGAAACTTCGCCTGAAAACCTGCATGATGACTGCAGTTGAAGTTGTATAAAAAAATGCTGGTCCTGCAGTTGAAGTTTTGCTGAATGATTTGGTTCTCCTAAATGCTAAAATTTGATGAAGCTTAATTATTCGAAAAATCATTTAAAATTTCCTAACAGTTACTTTTTTAATAGCAAGGAGACTACTGATTTCATTTGTTTATATCTTCAATATCAAATAGCAGCCATTAAAAAAAAAATTAATGAATAAATTAAATGCACTGAAATTGCAACTGTCGAAAATTTATCTGAAGAATAATTTACTTGCCCATAGGTATTTGCTGTAGACTGTAACCACCACCATCTTGATTGTGGTTCTGCTGGAATGTAGAACTAGTATTTTTGTACCCTGTCCGGTTGGTTAAGACTTGAGGATGTGAATTGGGGATGGTACTATGATCTGGTGGCCATGGTGGCCGGAATGTGGTGAAAGTAATAGCTAGGTAGAGGGGCCCCCGGGGGGGGGGGGGGGGGGGGGGGGGGGGGGGGGGGTTTTTTTTTTTTTTTATTTTTACTTGGAGAGAGAGAGAGAGAGAGAGTTTTTAATATTTTAATAATTTATTTGGACTAATTTGTATTTTTTTTAAAAGTTTGGGCTTATGGTTACAATTTATTCTTTATTTCTTCCTTTCTTTTTCTTTTTTTATTTAAATAGAAGGATATATTGATCATTTAATGCTAAAAATTAGTGAAAAGGATATCCATAGCGAAGAAAGGTGAAAGGTAGGAGCAAAAATTTCAAAAAATGAAAGGTATGAATGTTTTTCACAATAAACTTGAAAGGTATGGACGTTCTGTGCCAATTATCCTAAGATGAATATTAAAAACTTTTGATGGATGATATAATAGTTTTGAAATTAATTAAATAGTTATTGTAATTTATTTTTACATATTAGCCAAGTAGATAACTTCAAATTAATTTTTAATAAAAATATATGTTTATAACCATTGCGTCGTGTATATATTTCTAGTTTAAAATGTCAACACTAGATTTGACTACAAGTTTCATACAGCGTGACAAGACTTTGATCATGTAGTTATAATATAACCAACTTATAATAGATACAATAATAAAATATAAATTTTTTATTTAATTAAACTTTTGTGTGGAGCAAATTGTTTTTGCATGTTTGTAGAAAGATGAAAATAGAAATTTTTTAGTTCATTATTTTAAATGAAGATGTTAGAAGTGTATGTTCGATTTTAGAGAAAAAATAAAAGAAATTACTTACAAGTAAAAAGCATGTTTGTGATAAAAAATAAGTTGTTTACTTTAAAAAAAAAAAAAATAATAATAATTATATATGTACGATATTGATATCATAAACATTGATGTTTCAAAGTTCGCTGTGCACATTGACACTCAATTTGTCACTGCTTACAGCGATTGAGCGTCGTCATTGCAGCGACAATTTGGGTTCATTGCGCACAACGACGCTCAATTCTCATTTTCACATATTTAATTTATTTTATCATTTTACCCCACGTCATCGATTACATCACATAATTATGATCCCCACTTCATACAAATAACATTATTCAATAATATTGGAAGTGCCCACCTAATGGTTTGATCAGAGAGTTAAATTTTGTTTTGGCAGAGAATAAGAGGAACGTTTCTTTATTGCTTATGGATAAAAAAATACATCAGTGCAAGAACTCTACATATATATTGCTACCTTTCCTAACTCTAGTCAATTACATAAGGAATGGAATGAACAATAATATGACAAAGATAATTACAAATCATTATAGATGGAAATTTCCTTCTATGCCAATATATGGAGATTTGTTTCCTTTAATACACACCCTCAAGTTGGAGCATATATGTCAAGAATGCCCAACTTGCAAGTACGGGTGTAAAAAGGAATTTTGCCCAATGGTTTAGTGAACAAATCCGTGACTTAGTTTTCGCTTGATATGTATGCTGTTTTAATTTCTCCTTTGTCAATTCGTTCCTGAACAATACGGTAGTCGATCTCAATGTGCTTCGTTCTCTCATGGAAAATTGGGTTAGCAGCTATGTGTATGGCTGCTTGGTTATTATAGAATAACGAAGCAGGTTGAGCATGACTAATGCGAAATTCTTGCAATAATTGTCTTAACCAAGTTAACTCGCAAGTGATAGATGCCATAGACTTGTATTCTGCCTCAAGCTGAAGATTTGGATATCGTAGTCTGCTTCTTGCTTTTCTAGGAAATAAGTGATTTCCCAAGGAAAACGCAATATCTTGTTACTGATCGACGTGTATAATATCCCTGGCCCAATTTGCGTCAAAAATCCAATCAAATTCAGATTATTTGCTAAGGGAAAGAATAGTCCTTGTCCTAGTGACCCTTTCAAATATCGAAGTAGATGATAAGCGGCTTCAAAATGAGGTCTTCTAGGCTCTTGCATGAATTAGCTAATAGTGTTGACTGAAAAACAAATTTTTGGCCTCGTGATGGTCAAGTATATAAATTTTCCGATCAATCGCTAATAATGTGTCGGGACTTTGAGTAAATCACCATCGGTGGAAGTAAGATTTAAAGATTGTTCCATAGGAAACTTGGTAGGTTTTGCACCGAGTAACCCTGCTTCATGAAGGATATCAAGAGTGTACTTTCATTGGTTGATGGAGATTCCTATTTTAGATCAGGCTATTCAATCCCAAGGAAATATTTCAACAATCCGAGGTCCTTTAACTTGAAGCAAGACGCAAGGAATTTCTTTACATCAAGATGGCCATTTGATTGTTTCTTGTTATAATTATATCATCAACATATAGAAGAATAGCTGTAAATGAGTCTCCATAAACCTTTGTAAAAAGAGAGTAGTTTGCTCGTGACTGCTAAAATCTAAATTTGCTGATGGCAGATAGAAATTTGTGGAACCATGACCACGAGGCTTGTTTCAACCCATACAAGGATTTGTGAAGGCAACATACATGTGGTGACTCCAGTTGTTGATGAAAATTAGGTGGAAGATGCATGTAGACTTCCTCAACAAGGTCACCATGTAAAAAGACATTTTGCACATCCATTTGATGGAGGTTCCATCTACGGACTGAGACAATAGCAAGAAGACACTTGAGAGTTGTAAGTTCGGCAATGGGGGCAAATATCTCAGTGTAATTAATACCCTCTCATCGAGTGAAGACTTTAGCAACGAGGCGAGCTTTGTATCTTTCAACCGTCCCATTGGAATTATATTTGATTTTGTACACTCATTTACATCCAATGGGGTGGTGACCTGAAGGGGGAGAAACTATGGACCAAGTCTTATTTGATTCAAGTGCATCAATTTTGGCCTTCATTGTCTCGGCCCATTTTGGGTCCTTACAAGCCTGCTCATATGTTTCTAGTTCGATCAAGTGAGAAATGGTAGATGTGAAAGCACGATGACTATTAGAAAGGTTAGCATATGACATATACCTTGAAATAGGATGGTGAGTGCAGGATTTTAATGGGAAGAGATGATTCTTGCGCGGGCAAAGAATGGTTGATATAGTAATCTCTAAGTCGAGCCTTCATTCTCCATTGTTGCAGCAGAAGATTATTTCTCGAAATCAATAATGCTCTGATACCAAGTTAAATTTGGTTTTGGGAGAGAGTAAGAGGAACGTTTCTTTTTGCTCATGAATAAAAAAAAAAAAAAACATCAGTGCAAGAACTCTACATATATCTTGCCAACTTTCTCAACTCTAGTAAATTACATAAAGAATGGAATAAACAATAATATGACAAAGATAATTACGAATCATTATAGATGGAAATTTCCTTCTATGCCAATATATGGAGATTTGTTTCCTTTAATACAGATAGCTTAAAAATTAGACCGAGCCGATTCCCATTAGAAATTGTGAATTGGTTCTACGGGGAAGAAAAAAAGAATTGGATCAAACATCCGAAAGGTTTTTTTGTTCATGGAACCATTTATTTGTTTTGGTTCGTACTTTTATACTTTATATAAATAAGAGTCTGTTTGTGAGTGATTTTGAGAATTGATTTTTTGACTGTTAGGA